GAGAGAGAGAGAGAGAGAGAGAGAGAGAGAGAGAGAGAGAGAGAGAGCTGGGAAAGGGGCTGCGGCCCGCGCGGCTTTGGCTCCACTGGCCAAAGCGGGGACGGCGGGCTCGGGGAGCTTCTGGGGGCAGAGTCTAGCCGAGGGTTTCCGTCCCTCTCTCTGCCAGGCTTCAAGCGTAAGACAGCCGACCCGTCTGGAATCCGAAGGACAGTAGGGTCCTTCCCCTCCACACACACACCCCTTTTTTCCCCTCTAGAAGAACTCCACGGTTACAAATACCCGCCTCGTTTGATGCCGAGTTACTCGTCGACAGATAAGAAGAGGTGAGTAAAAAGAAAAGGAAAAGCTGATCTCCAGAATTTTATTTTAAGGAGGGGTAGTTAAACCTTCTCAGTGTGGCCGCCCAGGGAGAGGGGGGGGGAGGGGGGACACAGAGTCAGAGACAGAGACAGTGGATGTGAGAGAATATTTGGCCGAAGACCTTTTTTCCCCCTGCTTTACAGAGTTGTGGGTGGTACTGGGTCCGGGTTGTGGGTCCAGCGCGCCTCGCGCTGAGTTTGCACTCAGTTTTTGACTCCTGATTGTTCTAAACTTCAAGCCTGGCTATTTATTAGTGCCGGTAGGATTTTTTTTTTTTTTTCTATTTTAAAAGTCCTGGTTACGTAAACGCCAGTTAGGAAGCTTCTTTTTCAAGGGAACTCCAGTTTCCGAGATAAACGCTTCTTTTGTCAGGAACAACTTCGTGAGAAACCTCTGCATCCTCGTCTAAGCATGCTTAGCGTGTCCCACCCCACCCCCGCCACACAACTACCCCGCCAACCCCATTAATATTATAGAGCGATTTAGCATTCCGGTAGCCTTTATTTAGTAAAACTTCACTAGCATTAAAAAAAAAAAAAAAAAAAAAAAACAAAAAACCCAGCAGTAATAAAGTTTCTCCCTGAATAAAAATCCAGACAGATTCATTATTTGTATATTTTAAAGCGACCGTTAAGGAAATAATGGCTTGATTAACTTGTGGTAATTTGGGGTTTTACAAAAGAAGAAGAGTGTGAACTCTGCTTTATTTAAAACAAAAAACAAAAAAACAAAACTCCTGTAACTCGTGAACCTCTTCCTCTCTTCACTGTGTAACTTCTTACGCATTGTGTCGAATGCATTAAAGCAAACAAGAGGACAATCCGGTTTAAGGTAGGGGGGGCAGAGAGGAAGAGCATTTTAAAGACGTTTTCAAAGGGGGAAAAAAAAACCCATCGTTCTTAACGTGGGAGACTTACAGAGTTAAGTGTGAGATGGTGGAAAATAGCATGCCGGTGAAGGACATCTGTTTGGTTTTTGAGATTCACTTGATCTAAAAGGGGACACTGCTTTGCTAGTAACTAGAAAGATTTGTTATTCAGACTGCACGCTAGGGGTGAAACTGTTAGTTTAAATGTTAGTTTTTTAAATCTGTAGCTGCTGCAGTGCATCCCCCATAGGGGAGCAAGTTGGAGTTTATCCAGGGTATCTCTCCTGATTACTTCAAAGGACTGTGGCCACCAACAACTTGTAGCAAAAGCCTACATCACCAACAAAACCAGCAGAAGGCTCATCCAGTTGAGGATGGCCTCTGTCCTCCATCCTTGATTTAGCAGCCTGGCGGAAGCTATTCCACACTTTCTCTTTCCCGTCTGTGTGGACTCCTTGTTTTCAGAGTTCGGCACTCCACACCCTGGTTGTGGATTCATTTACTCTCCCCACATTGGAGGTGAAGAGAAATAGGTGGGGCAGCCCCAGAGACCAACAGAGAGATGGGGGTCAGATGCGCCATGCACACCTCAGTCAACAGTCGGCTTCTCCTGCCCGGGCTGGAAATGGTTTTAACAGGCGGTAAAATTTCATCTTGCGGTGTCAAATTGGGGTCATTTTGGGGTTAGAGTTCTCAGTGTCCGTGAGGAGCTGTCCAGCTGTGTGGGGGACTCATTAACTGCAAAAGATCTGTTTCAGTAAAAACAATTCAAAGACAATCGGAAGGCTAAAGACTCTCTACAAACCGCCTTTTACAAGTGCCCCAGAACAAATATGGTTGGTAAAACCTATTTCTTCACAATCCCAAATCAGCTACTTAGCTGTGGAGTGGGGGGTGGGAACACTGAATTAAAAAAGGAGGTGAAGGGGGGTAGTTGAAGGGGGGGTGGATGAGAAGGAGAATTGGGCCTCTCAAATTTAAGAGTCTGTTTTTAATCACCCCTTTCTTATTGAAGCATCCCCTAGACTTCTGAAAAGCACGCCTTTCTATTTCTCCTTTTCTTCTTTTGATCCCTTGTGGAATGTTACTATAGGTAACATTAAGGATTTAAAAGAATAATGTAAGCTCCCCCCCCCCCGCTCTGTAGTCTAACGACATTGGCTTTCTTTGGGGGGGGGGAGGGAGTTAATTTGAAGTAGCATTTATAAACTCGAACTTTATTTTAGCCAAACTTGTTCAGGCTCCTGGAAGGTGGTGTTTGTGGCTGTTCTTTTTTTTTTTTTTTAATCTACCCCCCCTCCTTCATTTCCAGATCCTCTGCACAGATAACTCCAAATTCCTCAGAACTGTGAGGTCTTGAAGTGTTAATCTGTGTATTAAAATCACCAGATTTAAATCCCTTTTGTCTTCTTTACAACAGTTAGAACAATTGATGCTTTACTCCTGGAGCAAGTAAATCCAGCCTTAATCTTGTTTGTAACTTTAGTTAATGTTTTGATTTGGAATATTTCTTATTAAGGAGACTTTGATTTAAGGAAAAAAAAACTGAGATTATGTTTGCGTCGAGGAGGTTCTGTTCCTCAATTTGTAGAAAGATAGCTTATTCCTTTGATTTAAGAGGGATTTCATTGGGTCAAAGGAAAGTTCAGCATTAAAATGGTAGGCCAGACGCGTGAAATGCCAGGATTTTTTTTTTTTTTGACAAAACAGTGTTGCTACTTAAAAGTAAAGTATCATTACGAAGGACTGAATTTGTTTTCTTAAATTAGTGAACCTAGCCAAGGAAAATAAAGAAGATGAAAAGCACCTTAAAGTATACCCTCGTTTGTCTTTTCTCTTTCTGGACTCCACCTCCGTTCCCAGGTTTTCCTTTTCTATCGGCACTACTTTTCTTTGGGTTCTAAAGGAGGGTGAGTTTTGAAGTCCTCCTTTCTCCAGGCTTCCCAGCCTGTTAGTGAATTGTTCTCCAAGGATTCTGTGGCCCTGTAGAAACAGTCCTGTGCCTAGTGTTATTGGGACAAAGGCAGAGGGGTTGTCTTCTGCCCTGCTCCGGCTGGCTGACAGTTGGAATTTTTGATATATATTTTATTTGGCATTTCTAATAACGTGTTTGTCCCCCACTCCACCCCTTGGAGCCATTTATTACTTTTAAAACATCTCTTCTCTGTAAACCTCCTCTCATCCTTGTGAACTGTTTTTGACCTTCCCAGCAGTATAACTGAAAAGTTACAGTAGAAAGAATTCTGCTTACTTCCTTACCTGTTACCTTGGTTCTTGCCCTTTCTAGAGGTGTCTACAGAGAAAACACCCCCTCCCGCTCCCCTTTACTGGATTTTGCTTTTGTTTTGTGCTTATTTTTATTTATTTAATTATTTATTTTTTTATTTTTTTTTTTCCCCCACACCTTGGCGTTCTGTTATAGACTCTTCACTCTGAAACTAATACTATCAAATCAACCTACAGTTAAAAACAAAAAAAGTGGTACGGAGCAGAATTGTTGCCTTTTGCTTTGGCCCCGTCTAATTTCTTCCAGTCTTTAGCTGTTTCCCAGTGTCGCGGAAAAGAACGGCTTTCAATAAATAGCCCTCTAGCGCTATCTGGCGGGGCTCCAAACGCTCTGTGCTCCGCGGCGCTGTCAGTTTCTCCTTCCCGCGCCCTTCCCCGTTTCCTTTCTCTTTTCCTCTTCCTCTCTCACTTGTCACTTCTGCTCTGGGTCCTATTTCCAGTTCCTTACCGCCCCCCCCCCCCCCCCCCCCCCCCCCCGGCCTCTTTCTAGTCTTTACTACATTTTCCCCAGCGCACACAGAGGACCCACGCGCACCGGCCAGCACCTTAGCCCTTGCAACTAGATGGCAGTCGGGCCACCCAGATCACGCAGGCTTCTCCAGTCCGGGCCCAGCGTGGCTCACACCCACCTTCTCCCTTTGTCGAGCACCTCGGCGGTGTTAAACGAGTTGACGAGTCCCACAGCCAGCCGCGGGTGGTGTTTACCGAACGGGCTTAAAACTCTACGTGGGAAGTTTGCTGGAAAGAAACGCTGGAGTCCCGGGCTGGCAAGGCCTGTGTGAC